GATCAACCATCAAATCATCGCACGCAACAGACATGGTTTCAGATTTAAACACATCAAAATCACATGTGGCTCTATGTATTGACATACTAAAATCAGAAACATAGTCATCCAACTTATCAAACCATCGATCTATGTTGTTTTCAAACTTATCCATTTTCTTTTCAAGATTATCAAATTGGAGATTTACCTCTTGGTGAAACTCCTTCATGGATTGGTGAAACTCCTCCATGGATTGACGTACATACAGGATTTCATCATGTAGCCGCTCTTCCATCCCTTGCGTACGTCTATCTGCCCCGTTCGCTTGACCAACTTCGATGCCGGGCGCCTCCTCCTCCACAGGTACGTGTGGAAGATCACGATCTTGATTTCCTCGACGCGGAGCCGTGTCAAACACACGTGTCCCACCAGGTGTGCCAAATTGTTTCCTCGGAAAAACCAAATGCCACCGCCGGTGCCGAATTCGTTTCCGGCGATGTTGATTCGATGTCTCGCGATGGAAACTCTTGCGGTGCCGCTAATCGAATGCACCGCTGATTGCTGAAATCGAGACGACCGTCAAATATCCGCCGCCGAATGTCGGCGCCGTTGATTTGATCGATGCACCTCTAAATGGTGAAATCAACGTGACCGTCAAATATCCACCGCCGGGCGGTGTTGATTTGATCGATGCACCTCTGACTTCTAACCAAGAACGACCGTTACTACGGTTCGCACCTCTCCAAACTACGTTCGAACGAGGGTGTTTGAGTTTTGAGGAATCTACGCTACCGCTACTCCTATGGAGATTCCTGTGGAGAGCTCCGCGACTACGACTAAGACTACAACTATGGAGATCCTTCCTGGAAGGAGAGCTCCGCGAAGGAGTTACAGAGAAAAAGATAAGTTTGACAGAGTTGTTCTGTGTTGATTTGGTTGTTTTTTTTCTCTCTCCTTGCTCCACTGCTTTTATTCGAAAAACTGCTTCGTAGTCTTCACGCTCGGTGGAACCGCTTCCTCAACTGCTCTGTCGTGAAATCCCACGTGTCTCAACCGCTTCGCTCCTCAAACCGTTTCGCGTGAACTTTACGTGAGTTGTTTTCATGATCCCGCGATGTCGTTTCCTTTCCCAAACAGCTCCGCTTGATTCTACCCGCGACATCGTTTTAATATTAAACGACTCCGCTTCCAGCCTTGCGGTGTCGTTTTCTTTCCCAACCAGCTCTGTTTGCTTTTTTACTCCACGACATTGTTTTATATTAAACACTGTCGTTTGCTAATACAGCGGTACCGTTGGGCTTACTCGCGGTACCGTTTTTAATTAATCGGCACCGCTTATCAAGGCCTCCCGCAGCATCGTTTTTACATCCGCGGTACCGTTTTAATTCTCCGCGATGCCGCTTGTCTCCATGCGGTACCGCTTCTCCACTTCCGACAAGGAATACAAATAATAATAATAAACTCCTTTTCCAACACCAATACCAAAACGCGCGGCCCCCATCTTGTTTTCCAGTGAACGGTGTCGTTTCCAGTGCCGCGGTACCGGTGAGCTCTCTTGCGGTACCGTTTTTCTGAACCGCGGTGTCGTTGGGTTTATTCGCGGTGCCGTTTTAGCCAAACGACACTGTTTCCCAGTCTCGCGATGCCGTCGAGCTTTGAGGTTTGCGGCACCGCTTAAATTCTCTGCGGTATTGCTCGACTCCAAACGATATCGTTTTGGCCATGCGATATCGAATTAAATGCCGAGACTAATTAATGCGGCATTTAATTCAGGCCAAAAATATTTTAGGTGTAAACAGAAATTCAAAGTTGCAAAGGGGAAGCTAACAGCAAGTACCAATTGAAATTCCAATTTCAATTCCAACGACTATCTGATTAAAGAGGAAGAAGAAGATCGTGTCGACGTTGTTTCCCTCATGGCGAAGCTCTCTCTATAACGCTATCATTTCCACTTGTTTTCTTCTTTCTTGTAGAACGTCATCGTTCATGCTTCCCGTTCTATTTCTTACTTTCTGCACAGGAGTACTTTGTTTCCTCATCAAGCTACCAAACAAATTTTGTGGAGCTGGGTTGTCTTGTTCCCTTGATCCGCCCATGAAGGCTGAGAACTGAATGAAAGAGACTCAAGCTTAGGGTTTCCATACCAAACTTGTTGTTATGGAATCAGAGCCCGACTCCAAATCTAGCCACCGCCTGCAATTGCAGATAACCAAGCTACAAACGCGCAGCCACAACCACAGAATGAGGAGCAGCCACAACAAGCTCAACATATGTTTTACACATGGAAGATCCTTACTTTCTTCATGGTTCAGAGCACTCAGGTTCACTTTTGGTTGCAGAGAGACTCATCACCACTAATTACAACGACTGGATCAGAGCTATGTTCAATGCTCTAGTAGCAAAGAACAAGTTAGGCTTCATCAATGGCACTATACCTTAGTCTGCAGAAACGGATCTGATGTATGGAGCTTGGGTCAGGAATAATGTCATGATCCTAAGCTGGATCCAGTAGTCAGTGGAGTTAGAGATTTGGAAGACCATCCTGTCTATCAAGTCAGCTGTGGAAGTATGAAAAAGCATGCAGACCAGGTATCGATATGGTGACATTGAAAAGGTTTCAGAGTTGGAAGAAGCTCTCTCGAGTCTCAAAAAGGTCATCAGACTGTTATAGAGTATTATGGCAAAGTTATCACTTTTAGGGACGAGTTTGAAAACTATCAACTCTTGTTGCCTTAAGATTGTACTCCTACTAGCCACCTGGACTGTAAAGTTATGAAAAGAGTCTTAGAACATCAAGAAACAAACTATGTGATACAATTCCTCATAGGGCTGGGGTTAGATCTCAAGTGTTGTTTGGAGATGATCTTCCCAATATCAATAGGGTTTTCCAGAGGATGTTACACCATGAAAGAAGGACATACAGATAGGGAAGATGTTGGCTACTGTGAACTTAGAAATCTCAGCACTTGCTATGCAAGGCAACAACAGAAGGCCTAATCTGCATGGAAAGAGGCATTTCTGTACCATTTGCAAGAAAGAAGGACATACAGAGGATACATGTTACCAGAAGCATGGATGACCACCTGGTTTGGGGCCTAGATCTCAAACTTATGTTCCTGAAAGAGTGATAGAGTCCACATTCTTCAAGAAACATGGGTACACCTCACACAGAGGATAAAATGCTTCAAGAAGATTGGTTTTCCACCAAATTTTGTTTCCGGAAACACCAATACTAGCTATGGGAGAGGTAGAGGTTATGTGAACACTGAAGCCATTCCACAGCAGAAGAAAGAGATCAAGCTCACTAGGTCTGAATATGAGAAGCTCATGAGTCTGATGGTATCTCAGAAGGGTCAACCATCTCATGCTGCAACAGCCTTTATGACTAGCAGAGGTAACATTTCTAAATGTCTCTTTACTGTGCCTATTATGAATGACATTTCACATAAAAGGGACAGATGGATCCTTGACACAGGAGCCTCTAATCACATTGTGTGTTCACTTGATTACCTTGAGAACTATCAGACACACGGGGATGTTTTTATAACATTACCAACCGGAGAGCAGATTCAAGCAACTCACAGTGAAACCACATCCTTGAATGAGAATATGGATCTACAAGATGTTTTATATGTTCCCAACTTTACCTTCAATTTGATTTCAGTGAGTAAACTCAACACAAGAAACTCACTGAGTTTGATTTTCCACTCTAACCTTTGTCTTATACAGGATCTGAAGCAGATGAGAGTGACTGGCTCTGCTAGATTGCTCAATGGCTTATACTATCTAGAAGTTTCTTGTTCTCCTAGATACATCTCAGCAGTAAGCTCTCCTTCCATTGATCTGTGGCATTTTCGTCTATGACATGTTTTCCATTCTAAAATTTCACACCTCAGCCAATTTGTCACTTTTCTAAGTAAATCAGACTTCCTTTTCCTTTGAGTCACTCTGTAACTCAGTATGCTTTTGAACTCCTTCACGTTGACATTTGGGATCCTAATCCAGTCCCTACCTATGATTAATTAGATATTTCTTAAAAATAGTGGATGATTTCTCTCGGATGACTTGGATCATTTTGCTTCAACTTAAATCTGATGTTAGAGCTAAGTTAATTGCTTTTTGTAATCCAATACAGAGAAAATTTTATTCTGTCATTAAAAGGACGAGAAATGACCAAGGAAAGGAATTCCTTATGGAAGAATTCTTTCAATCTACATGCATTGTTCAAGAAATGTCTTGCATTGAAACCCCTCAACAGAATAGCAAAGTAGAAAGAAAACACCAGCATGTTTTAGCAGAAGCTAGAGCCTTAAAGTTTCAGGCTGACCTTCCAGCAAGTTTTTGGGGTGACTGTATCAAACATGTTGTGTTCCTAATCAACAGGGTCCCCTCTTCATTTCTTCAAAACAAAACACCCTATGAAACTCTCCATAAAACACCTCCAGATCTCTCTGATATAAAGGTTTTTGGTAGCCTGTGTTATGCTAGCATCCTAGGCAATCACATACACAATTTTCAACTTAGAGCTAGAAAATGAGTGTTCTTGGGATATCTTACTGGTATAAAAGATTACAGAATCTATGATCTCACTTCTCATGACATTTTCATTTCTCAAGATGTCATTTTTTTATGAATCAGAATTCCCTTTCAAATCCACAGACTCCACTTCATCCCATACCACAGATGTAGATGACCCTGATTTCTTATTCCCTATACCATCTACCTCTTCTCCTACTTTTCCTGATGATTCAGACCTTCCTCACTCCCCTCTAGTCCCTCTTACTCCAATCATTCCCACATCCACTATCCATCCAACAGATTCTCCTTCCTCTCCTTCTATTCCTTCCCATATTCCATTAGACCCTAGTCCTTCTGTTCCTTCTGCCTCATTACAACACCCCAACACTTTACCAAGCAATCTAGCACTACCAGTTAGTTTGCCTCAGATTCCAGATGTAAGGTTTTCTCTATCCTCCCTGGTTACTTATGACAAGCTTGCTCCTTATTACAGACAGTAATATATGGCCAAGCAATCTAACACCCTTGGAATCGCAATTGTTCGAATTGACTATGCTCCCTGGGGTATCAACTCACTCCATGCTCACCCTCGTGCTACAGAGATCCTCACCGTGATCGAAGGCTCTCTCGAAGTTGGATTCGTGACATCCAACCCTGAGAATCGCCACATTACCAAGATCCTTAAGAAGGGAGACGTATTCGTCTTTCCGGTTGGGTTGATCCACTACCAACGCGATATTGGCTACGGAAATGTTGTTGCTATAGTTGCATTAAGCAGCCAGAACCCTGGAGTCATCACCATCGCCAATACTATTTTTGGATCCAAACCCGACATATCTACTCACCTCCTCGCCATATGGTATGCTCTAGGACTAGGACTAGGACGACCTCTAAGGACTACTAAAAACAAGGAATGATACAAGGGATACTCCTGCAATATTAAAATTCTTTTCGATTTATTTTCAATATCTCTAATTAAACGCCATGACCTTATTGGCTCGTATGATAATCTCACTATTAGGTGTGTATGTCTATAAATTATCCACAAGTGGGTGGGAATAGTAAGACAAAAATCCATGAGTAAGCATCATCATCATTCATGTCAATCACAAGTGGGATTTTATAAATCAAATCCTTGTGGTTGGGTGCGGGTTTTTTGGTTACAACCCGAGATTATCTAATCGGAGCTGTAATAGTACATTATGCATCAAGGTCTCGTATGAATGCACATTTTAAAGTAATATTTTGATTTTAAAAAAAAAAATTTCATATGTATTATTTTTTCATATTAAATTATTAAAAGTACAAATTTAATTATCGTATAATGGATCCATTTTCATCCAACCCAATCAAAATCGTGCCTACAAAATTAATGGGTGAGTTTCGATTTCCATAACTCAACCCATGTGTCATTGGATAAGTGGTAAAAAAATGCTAAAATATGATCCAACCGACCGGCTCGAGTTAGGGTGCATAACCCTTAGTTATGGTAGGGAGTAGGGGGTGTTCAAATGGTTGTCGTGTTAATAACCAAACCAATTAAACCTAAAGTGTTGGGAGAAATTGGAGATTTTATGGTAAGAGATTCTGGGAGACTGTTTTGGTAATCACCAACGGTACAGGATCTGTTTTGGCGGCAAATAAGAGGAATCATAGGAAGGGATTGTTCAACAGTCATCTTACTATTGGTAGCTATTTAAAGGTCTCAATCTCCTTGTATTGCCGCAACTTTGATAGGCTGAAAAACTAGAGCGGGAAAGGGTTCTAGGGGATCAAAGGGCTTGTGAAAATCAGAGGTATAGGTTCTGTTTTCACAAGGTTGTAATTGTGATTCTGGATTGGAATCACGGCTGAAGTCTAAGCCTTAGCTTAGAATCTCGTTCCTTTTCATTCTCAAAATAAAAACTCCTGGAGTACAGCTGATGCTGATCTCTGGGATGTGGAAGTAACCATTGCACAGGGTGAACCACATTAAAAAACTCGGTGTCTTTTGGTTCTGTCTCTTTTCATTTCCTGCTTTGCTTTGTTGCTCTGTTTTGATTCTGTGAACCTTGCTGAAGCTGCTGTGTCTTCTATTGAAGAAGAAGAAGGGTTTTTGGTTTTACGCTCTGTTTCTCGAGTAAATATGTCCAGGTCTTGCGCCAATCTAATTGGGCCTATTCTGTATTAAGCCCAATCGGAAACTGTAAGCTAGAGAATTCCGTTTACTCGTCTTTCGTGTCTGCTTTCCTGCAGTATCTCTCTGTAGTCATCGATTCCATTCTCCCCTCTTTAAACCCTAAGTTCTTCGCCTTGATCCTCTTTACAATTGGTATCAGAGCCTGCCCTTGAAGAGGTTAATTACTACCAAGGATAAATCGATCCATGGCAACAAATTCTCAGTCCACGTTTGGTCCTACCTCCCAAAATAATCCTCCTTGGTTCACCGGTTCAAATTACAATGCCTGGAAGAAACGAATGAAGACCTTCATGTGGGGAATTGATGCTGATCTGTGGGGAATCATTCGTGATGGACCAGGAGAAATGGATATGGATCGACAGAACGAATGGATTGATGCTCAAAAGAAAAGCGCTCAGCTAAACTGCAGAGCTATGCACATCTTACAGACTGCCATGTCGCTGGAAGAAATTGACAAGGTTGAACAGTGCGAAACCGCAAGAGAGATCTGGGTTACGCTAGAAGCTACTTATGAAGGAACTTCAAACATCAAAGAGACCAGGATTGATTTGCTTCTCCACGAGTACGAAGTTTTCGACATGATCCCAGGTGAGAGGTTTACTGGGCTTACTAATAAGCTGAAAGGATTAGGAAAGATTTTTACATCTAAGGAGTTGGTTAGAAAAATCTTGCGATCCTTACCTAGAGAATGGCTGCCAATAAGAACGGCTATAGAAGAAGCTAAGAACTTAAACACTTTAGCAGTAGATGAACTAATTGGATCTCTGATGAGTCATGAGCATGTTATAAGACAGGTTGGGAAGGATGAAGATCGTCTTAAGAAAAATTTAGCCTTTCAGTCTCGATTCAATGAATATGATTCTGAAAATGATAGGAGAGTGCAAAAATTGGCTCTTAAGTCGCATGCTTATGAGTATGAGTCTGATGGAGAAGTTGATATTGAATTCGAAAAGGAGTTTGCTTTGATCACCAAAAAATATCAGCGTATGTTGAAATATAAGAATGATCAAAAGCGAAATTATCAAGATAGTCGAAATCGTCTAGGGATGCCAAGCAGAGATCAGAATTACAGGTCTTCAAATGGTCCTATTCGTCATCAGGAGCAGAACTCTCGTTATAATGATCGATCTTATGATACTAACAGAACTAATCGTGTTTTAAATGCTCCTTCAGAAAGATATTTTTGCGCAGGAAAAGGACTTGGAAGCAAATGAAAGGGAGCCACAAGCCTGTTACACATGTGGGAAGATGGGTCATATTAGGGCTCACTGCCCACAAACTATGAGAGCTAATGAGAAAGCCATGAAGGCATCATGGAGCGATTATGAGAGTGACTCAGAGGATGACAACAACCATGAAATTGCTTACATGGCCAGGATGGAAGAAGGATCAGAAAGCTCTCAACAAAGTATAAGTCTCCCAAAGAATTCCGACGAAGTTCAGCATGAATGGTATCTTGACAGTGGCTGTTCCCACCATATGACTGGTAATGTATCTCTATTCTCAAAGCTTGTTTTCAAAACAGAAGGAAAGGTATATTTTGGTGATGACAACTGTGGTATCATAGTTGGCAGAGGAACCATTGGAAAATCACCTCTTCCTTCTGTCAAGAATGTGCTTTTAGTTGATGGGTTAAAGCATAATTTATCGTCAATCAGTCAACTATGTAGTAGTGGAAACAGAGTCACCTTTGAAGCCTCACATTGTTTAGTGAAAAGGCTAAAGATGACCAAATTATGTTCGTTGGAAAACGCACTAACAACATGTATGTGATAGACTTTCAAAATTTAAGTGCGTTTAATGAAAAATGCCTAGTATCTCTAACCTGTTATCAAGAGATGCTGTGGCATAAGAAACTCGGCCATGTTAATCTTCAAAAACTGGCGAGTCTTTCTAAGTCTGATGTAGTTCGTGGTATTCCGTGTTTAAAAGACAGAAATGATTTTTTCTGCAAGGCTTGTGCTACTGGAAAGCATGCAAGAAAACCTTTTAAACCTTAAACGGATACTACCTCTCATCACCCGTTTGAATTGATCCACATGGATCTTTTCGGACCCTGTAATGTGACTAGTCTTGGTGGTAAAAATTACGCTTTTGTGATTGTTGATGACTTTTCACGATTTACTTGGGTATACTTTCTTGCTCAAAAGGATGAAACCTTCTCTAAGTTCAAAACTTTTGTTAAATTGAACAATACTATTAAGACTGTGAGAAGTGACAATGGAGGAGAGTTCATATCATATGAGTTTGCTGATTTTTGTGAGGAAAATGGCATCAACCATACCTTTTCTGCTCCTCGTACCCCACAACAAAATGGGGTAGTTGAGAGAAGGAACAGAATCCTCATAGAAACAGCTAGAATGATGCTTTTGGACTATGACCTTCCTAAATTTTTCTGGGCTGAAGCTGTCAGCACAGCCTGTTATGTTACCAACAGAGTTTTGACTCGAAAAGTCTTGAACAAAACTCCTTATGAAATTCTGAAGGGTAAGAAACCTAATATATCATACTTTCATCCCTTTGGTTGTCAGTGTTTTTCACTAAACACAAAGGACAATCTTGGAAAATTTGATGCAAAATCAGATGAGTCCATCTTCTTGAGTTATTCCTTAAAGGGACAGGCATATATAATTTACAATAAACGAACAAAAAGGGTTGTGGAATCTGTGCATGTGAAATTTGATGAAACTAACCCTTTATATGATGGTTTAAGAACAGGAAATGTGATGGTAGATCTTACTGATTTACTCCATGATATGAGTCATCTAGCTCCTAATAACAGCTCTGAGGCTGAAGATACTACTCACAAAGATAACAGTGCAGAAGGCTTTGAAGAGACAGTCAATAGAAAGATCATTGCAGAAACTGAACATGGTAAAGCTCCTGAAACCAGCTGCACAAATGCTGAAGTAAGCAAGCCTCAAGCACCTCCACATATTCAGAAGAGACATCTTGAAGCTCAAGTCATTGGGAGCATAAATGACAGTCAAAAAACACGAGGTAAATATACTCCTGGTCAATATGCCTTTGTGTCTAAAGTCGAGCCTAAAATTTTTTAGAGAAGCTTTAAATGATGAGAAGTGGAATCTTGCTATGCAAGAAGAACTTACTCAATTCAGCTACTTAAATGGTTGGGAACTTGTCCCTAGGCCTAAAGGTAAAACCATTATAGGAACCAAATGGGTCTATAGGAATAAAACTGATGAGTTAGGTGATATTGTTAGAAACAAAGCCAGACTTGTTGCTCAGGGCTATTGCCAAGAAGAAGGGATAGATTATGAAGAGACTTTTGCCCCTGTAGCTCGAATTGAATCTATACGTCTCCTATGTGCTTTTGCTAGTTATATGAAATTTCCTCTATATCAGATGGATGTAAAAAGTGCCTTCTTGAATGGCATAATCAAGGAGGTATATGTTGCCCAACCTCCTGGATTCACTGATTATCAATTCCCTGATTATGTCTATAGATTAAATAAGGCTGTTTATGGACTTAAACAAGCCCCTAGAGCCTGGTATGATAGACTGACCAGTTTTCTAAAAGAGCAGGATTTTGTTCAAGGGTCTGTTGACAAGACTTTATTCATCAAAAGATCTTTGTCTGACATGTTGGTTGTGCAAACTTACGTGGATGACATTGTGTTTGGTTCTACTAACTCATCTATGTGTTCTGAATTCCGTGATTCAATGAAAAATGTCTTTGAAATGAGCATGATGGGTGAGTTACAGTATTTTCTAGGT